GGCGGCGGCGGCGGCGAGTGACGAAAAAAAATGTCACGTGGAATGTTTGGGAAAGTGGCGGTGAAAAATATGAAAGGCATAGCGAAATATCATCACGTTTATGTAATCCATCGACTAGGGTCGCTGTTTACATAAACAGCGATCTAGCCGACCGGGGCCTTCCCTCCTTCTTCTCCGTGCCTTCCCCCCGCGTCAACGAGTACCACCCCTCCCGCGCCACGCGCTCCACTCTAACCCCATGGATTAGAACCCGCCTGTACGGTGAGACTCCGTATGCCGAGCTGAGCTCGTCAAGCAAAACAATGAGTCTATCCTTCTGTCTCTCTTTCTTCCTATGGTCACTTATTTCTAGCGACCGAAAATGCTCTCTCGACAATTTCGGCCGCTCAACATGCATAAATAAGAGGAGAAGGGACATTATAGATAACATATAAGTTTTAATAAATTATATTAATCATATATCTCTCCAATTTATGTATAATAGCAAAAATAATTTCAAAACACGATAATTTACGAGATATTTCTATGATTTTCCATGAGTGTTATATATCATGTTCATAGAAATGATTTGCAACGCTTCGAAGTAGTCTCGCGCGTAAGGTGCGAAATCAAAATGTTAGAGATCCCACGCTCGATTCCTTTTTTTTCTTTTTTCGTAACTTTTTTTTAAATAAGTAACATTGTTAACAAACACATGTTACAGACCAAATATATTTTTATTTAATTATTGAAATTATATGTGTATTTCTAAAAAGTATTAAATCGACAATTGTAGCAAAAATAATTCGACGAAATATGCATCGAATAGATAGAAAATTTTTATATGTAAATGAAATCTGTTTACTTTACTATAAAAACATCCGAAAAGAAATCATGTTTTTGGTAGTAATATTACGTTTAGTGTCGATCAATATTTTCTTATATAACTATCATCCTGAATTCTGAAAATGAACAAATCGCAAAAGTTAATCGCAATGATTAATATAATAATAGAATGATGTCAATATAATTTTATAGTTTACAAATTAAAAAGCATTCATATGTTGCAATATACAAATAATTTTTTTTTATCTATTGAAGTGATTCGGTATTCTTCCTATAGTTGTTGGAATACACGTTATTAAATTTTCTGGTGCTCGGAAATTGCACATTTTGGATTGACTTTTTGAAGCATCGCCTTCTTTTCCTCCGCCTTTTATCAGTCACCGCTCGATGGCTCAGCTACGCGCGGATGTGTATCTCAGGAGCGTGGTAAAAAATATGCAGCGACCGTACCTTCTAGCAAATTATCAATGTTTTACTTTTCTTCCTACATAATTATAATTTTCTTTATTAAATCAAATTTTCGACTAAAATATATATATATCTAAATACATTTTACAATACAATAATTACAATATGACAATTATAATGAACAATAATTTTCGATATTAGGGAGTTTTTACAGTACCGTTTATCCAGATACGATGAACGCTAAATGTATCGATCAAGTAATTATTTCTCTAGAGCGAAAATATGAAAAATGAAAAATTTTATATATCTATGCATATACACACACACACATACATTTTTGCCGTAAAGAAAAAGATATATAATCAATATCATAGTCATGTTATCTTCTTCTTAATGACTATTTAAGAAAAGGATAATGTGACTTTAATGTTCATTGTATCTGGATCCACATTATTGAAAAAATTCTATTATCTTTGCAGCTCTATTATTGATGCGTCTTTTAAGTGCATTTTCCAAATTTATTCCACTAAAAAATAATACAAATTGATGATCAAATATATGACGCGGTAAAAAAAAATTCTTATATTAAAATACTAATATTGAAAATTTTAATTGAACTCTCACTACTTAAAATAATAAC